CCTAAAGGCGTGGGATTACTTTTTTAAAAATTTGTATTGGGCCAGGTGCAATGTCTCATGCCTATAATCCCAGTACTTTGGGAGGCCGAGGTGAGAAGATTGCTGGAGCCCACGGGTTCAAGACCAGTCTGGGCAACTCGGTGAGACCTCATCTCTAAAACAAATCAAAAGAAAATTAGCCAGGTGTGGCGGCACGTGCCTATAATACCAGCTACTTGGAAGGATAGGCAGAAGGATCGCCTGAACCCAGCAGGTCGAGGCTGTGGTGGCCGTGATTAGCGTACCACTGCATTCCAGCCTGGGCAACAGAGTGAGACTCCAACTCAAAATTTTTTTTAAAAATTTTATATTGAAGTATGTTAAAGCAAATTCCAGATATTAAGCACTGAGAACTTTTAGATCATTACAGTATTCATAAACCAGGCGTGGTGGCACACACCTGAAATACCAGTACTTTGGGAGGTGGAGGTGAGGAATGGATTGCCTGAGCCCATGGGTTCAATACCAGTCTGGGAAACATGGTGAGACCTTGTCTCTACAGTAAATCAAAAAAATTAGCCAGGCATGGTGACGCACATCTGTGGTTCTAGCTACTTGGAAGACTGAGGCAGAAGAATCACCTGAGCCCAGCAGGTCGAGGTTGTGGTGGCTGTGAGTGTGCCACTCCACTCCAGCCTAAGCGCCAGAGTGAGACTCCAGGTCAAAAGATTAGAGGGCCATCTCCAAGTTTCCTTTAAAATCATGTAATGTAAAAACTAGCTTACTGACTTTTCACTGCTAGTCTATTGTTATTTAAGATATCTGAGTCAGGAAGTCATTTAGTTTGTGCTTTAAAGAAATTTCTTTATTTACACCTTCCTAATATTTATCCTAACAAGATCCTGGTTTGAAAGGATCTTTATTTTTCATAAATGATTGAGATAATTCCTAGTCTTACTTAGAGACAGAGGTTCTAACGAGAAAATAAGTGTGGTTTTATGATTTGCATCTTAGTAGAAATAAGGGCTATTTGTTTTAAAAAGCCATTTTTTAGATCTACTTTTTCAATTTAGCTTTTTTATTTGTTTTTGTTTTCAGTTTTTAGGTCTACAGAGGTGATTCTGAGCTGACCATGGTGGATTTTTTATTTATTCTAGAAACAATCTGATTATGTAAATTCTGTTCTGTGGCAAGATTAAGATCTGCTCACTTCATAAAATTCTGACCCTGAAGCTGTCAGGCTGTGCCTGGGAACTGTGTCAGTGCTGATATGCATCTCTGCAGGTCACTCCTAGTGTCTGAAGATTCATCTAGACCAGTTTTAATCTATAGAATGTTAGCATCACATAATATACGTTGCAGTAAACTCTTGGTTTATTTAACCTTTTTCTAAATAACTCTGTTGGTATACTTGCTATTCATATCACTTGCATAGTGCACATACACAATTTGGGATAGGGAAATTCATTTTAGGGTATAGTACCAGCTGTTCTCTTTCAGGCTATGCTGAACTTTAGAGGTGCTTAATAAAAGCATCTCTACAGATGAATTTAGCAAAAAGGGAAAACTTGCTATTTGTTTATGTGAATTTAGGCAGTAGAGACTATTTACCAATGCCAGAAAGATAATTCTTTAATAGATGACTTTTGTGTTTTGTTTTAGAGTCCCAAGAAGCTGATGAACAACTAGTAGCAGAAGTGCTTGAAAAATGTTCATCTGAGGCTTGTTCTAGGCCTTCAGAAAATGAGATATCTCAGCAGGCTGTTCATTCTCACTCAGTCAAGGATTTCAAAGAAGAACCTGAACCTGATATTAGCAAAATTTCAATTGTGAGGCCATTTTCAATAGAAACCAAGAAGTCCACAGATATCCCAGCAGCTTTTGGAACAAAAGCAGCTCATGGCTGCATAACTGCAATCTCAGGCGAGGCTTTGCCCTCCAGCCGGCCAGACATCATCCAGGACAAGGCAATGACAGAAGGCAACATGGGGGTTACTCTTGAGGCTTCCACAGAAGCTGACCTAAAGGCTGGAAATTCCTCTCCAGAACCTGTGGCCAGCAGAAGCAAGCTAAGAAAGCCCAAACCTGTCTCTCTGAGGAAGAAAACAGCTGGAGGAGAGTTCTCAGAAACTGAAACTGCCATGGAGAACACACCTCTTCCCAAAGCATCCTACCAATTCAGTCCTGAAGTATTGGATGAAAACAGAAATCCTTCCTTACTAGGAGATGCCAGGTTCCAGAAATCTTCCCCTGACCTAAAAGAAGCTTCTAGCACTCTCAGTAGTGACACCAATGATTCAGGGGTCGAGCTTGGGGAAGAGTCGAGGAACTCACCTCTCAAACTTGAGTTTGATTTTGTGGATGATGTGGAAAATGTAGAGACCAGGAAAGCTCTTCCAAGGAAACTTGGCAGGAAATCGGGTAACAAACTGATTCCCAAGATACAAAAAGATGGCATCAGTAAGCCAGCAGGTGCAGAACAGCCTACAGATCCAACAGCAAGTGATGTGCCTCTCTCTCAAGTATCTTCTAAGATAGATCCTAGTCAGTGGGGCACCCCCACTTTTAATCCCTTTGGGAGTCACTCTATTCTGCAGAACTCCCCACCTCTCTCCTCTAAGGACTCCTACCACTTTGACCCAGATAACTTTGATGAATCCACGGATCCCTTTAAACCAACTACAACTTTAACAAGCAATGACTTTTGTTCTACCCCTGGTAATCATGTTAATGAAATTTTAGAATCACCCAAGAAGGCAAAGTCGCGTTTAATAACGTGAGTGACAACAGATGCTGAGTATTGTGCTCTGTGTATTTTCTGTGAGTTTGGCAGCTGGCTACTTTGGGTTTTGGTGAACGTAATTTGCTTTTGATTTCCTGTGGGGTAGATAGAAAGCTTATAACTTTATGCTGCAACCTTCACTATTTAGCCTAACTCTTGTGTGGAATCAGAAATACCAGAGGTTTCCTTTTTTAAGTTTGTCTTACTTCTGAATTCTTATTCATTAAGCTCTTTCCCCCTGGATACTTTCTTCATGTTGGAAAAAAAAAAAAGAATATAATAAGATAGGCAGGTAGTGATTTGATGGTTTGCAGAAATCCTGGCTTGGCTTCAGGAATCGGTTTATAGACAAAATTCAAGTGTCCTTGTTGGCTACCATCTTCAGATTCTCTATGGCTAAAACAAATCCAGGCCTAAAAATTACCCATCTAGTGTCAGTAATGTGTGGAAAAGGGTACAAGGGGATCTTGTAGAAGTCTTTTCATTTAAGCAGAAAACTGATTTTTGTTGGAAACCTACCACTGAAAGTTGTTGAGAATTCTTGTTTCCTTGTATAGTTTCTGACTTACCAGCAAGGACATGAATTGCTGGTAAGAATCAAGAATGTTTCAAACAATCAGTTAAATCTGACTAAATTAGATGGTTAGTCTTTTTGTTGTATGCCTTCCCCTCTACCTCCCCCATTTCTCCTGGGAAACGTGGGTGGACTTTTTTCTTTTTTAAGTTATGGGGTACAATTCAGGATTAGGTATACAAGTAGTCATCTTACAGGCAAAGTTTGGGCCTATCTTTGATCCCCACTTTGCCTGGTTTGAGATCACTTACCCTTATTAATGTTATGTGCTCCCCCTGTTTTTTTATAATAGGGTCTCACTGTGTTGCCCAGGCTGATCTTGAACTCCTGGCTTCACGTGATCCTCCCACCATGGTCTCCCAAAGTGCTGGGATCACAGATGTGAGCCACAACATTCAGCCCTGGATGAACTTTTGCAAGGTCCATGGAGTTCTCAGAGTGATCAACTGAGGCCATATTTCAAGTCAAGTTTCATTTGAACTTTTTGCAGGATGACTGTTTCACAAAACTTAAATTGAGTAGATGATAATACAGATATGTCTAACAAGAGTAGTTCTGAGAAATGTATCATTAGGACATTTTGTTGTTGTGCTAACATCATAGAGTTTCCATATACAAACCTAGATGTAGAGCCTCCTACACACTTAGGTTAAATGGTATGGCTTTTTGCTCCTGGACTATGAACCTGTACAGCATGTTACTGTACTGAATATTGTAGGTAATTATAACACAGTAGTATCTGTGTATCTAAACATAGAAAAGGTACAGTAAAAATAAGGTATACAAGATAAAAAGTAACACACCTATATAGGCACTTACCATGAATGGAGCTTACAGGGCTGGAAGTTGCTCTGGGTGAATCAGTGAGTGGGTGGTGAGTGAATATGAAGGCCTAGGACATGACTACACTACTATAGACTTCATAAATAATGTGCATGTAGACTGCACTCAATTTATTAAAAATCTTTTTTTAGTAATTAAACTTAGCTTACTGTAACTTTGTAAACTTCAATTTTTAAAATATTTGACTCTTGTAATAACACTTAAAACACAAAAACATTGTACATCTGCACAAAAGTATTTTCTGATTTTATATTCCTGTTCCATAAGCTTTTTGTATTTAAAATTTTTTTTTGACTTTTTAAACTTATTTTGGTAAAATGAAGACACAAACACACACATTAGTCTAGGCTTCCAGAGTGTCAGGATCATCATCACTAGGCTATAGGAATTGCTCAGCCCCATTATAATCTTATGGGACCACCATCATATCTGTTGTCCACCATTGACTAAAATGTCATCATGTGGCACATGACTGTATATCTTTTTGCAACCCTGTGGCATTTTGCTAAAAATTAGGTACAGAGAAGGACTGATGACTTGGAGAATGAAATATGAAAAGGGAGTATGAAAAGTAGTATATTTGTAATTATCACTATAGATCAATGGGGGACATACTTTTCAGCATTACTATGACTTGAAACTTCAGATGGCATGGTGAATTATAGTAGAAAGGAAAGCAGAGATTTAAAGAGCAGAAGTATCGATTTTAGGACCAAGAATCTCGAACAATATAGGTATCAGTTCTTCAGCAGCCCCAGAATATCCTTCAGAATGTCTGAGGGAAATTAAATGTCATTTGTAGCTTTTAATTTTTTCTTTGATTACATATCAGCAGTTAACTGGTTGTTGAAAAATATTGACGCCGGGCTTGGTGGCTCAGCCTGTAATCCTGCGCCTTTGGGAGGCTGAGGTGTGTGGATTGCCTGAGCCCACGGGTTCGAGACCCGCCTGGGCAGCAAGACCTCATCTCTACAATAAATCAAAAAATCAGCCGGGCGTGATGGCGCATGCCAGTAATTTCGGCTACTTGGAAGGCTGAGGCGGAAGGATCGCCGGAGCCCAGCAGGTCGAGGCTGCGGTGGCCAGGACCGGCCACTGCACTCCAGTCTGGGTGACGGAAAAAAAAAAAAATTATTGACTGGTTATTCTCTTTTGTAGCTTTTTTTTTTTTTGGAGTCTCGCTCTGTTACCCAGGCTGGAGTTCTGTAGCATGCTCACAACCACCATAATCTCGACCTGCTAGGCTCAGGTGATCCTTCCATCTCAGCCTCCCAAGTAGCTGGAACTACAGGTACACACCACCACCACGCATGGAGAATTTTAAAATTTATTTTAGAGACTAAGTTCTCGCCAAGTTGCCCGGGCTAGTCTCAAACCCCTGTACTCAGGCAGTCCTCTCACCTCAATCTCCCAAAATACTGAGATTACAGGTGTGAGCCACCACACCCAGCTTCTCTTATAGCACTTGGAGTACATATTAAGCATGTCACTGCCTTGGTACTTCCTCTCCTAAATATGGGATGCTTCTGTCTCCCAAGGCTGATAAGAAGTCATTTGGAAGCTTCCTGTCAGTTGTATGCAGCAGTTAGATCAGATTAAATCTGGGCTAGAGAGGGAAATTATCTAACATTATGTTCAGTGGCAAGAAACACCCTCTTAAATTCTTCACCCTCACCTGGTAGCATTTTCTTCCTATTGTTTTCGTTGAATGAACTTCTTGATCTAAAATGGTTCTGTGGTGGGTTTTTTGGTTTTATTTTTTATGTTTTACACAGTCAAAACTCTTGACTTCTTTTACAAGAAAGCAGTGCTCGACCTCTTGTGTAACACTGGAATTTTCTTAGCAAATTCCTTTATTCATAGGAAAGGCTGAAAACATGCAGTGGTAGAATCTAGTGGAGAGTTAGGAATTTTGCATGACATTCAGAAAAGAGGCATAAGATTGACTTCTCAGATTCTTTGGTAAAATGGAGACACTATGATATGATTGGCATTTTGCAGACCAAATAAAATAACTTTTTTTTTTTTTTTTTTTTTTTTTGAGTTGGAGTCTCACTCTGTCACCCAGACTGGAGTGCAGTGGCACGCTCTTGGGCACTGCAGCCTCGAACTGTTGGGCTCCGGGTTCCGGCGATCCTTCCGCCTCAGCCTTCCAAGTAGCTAGAACTACAGGCACGTGCTACCACGCCCGGCTAATTTTTTGTATTGTAGAGATGAGGTCTTGCCAAGTTGCCCAGGCGGGTCTCAAACCCGCAGACTCAGGCAGTCCACTTCCCTCGACCTCCCAAAGCACGGGATTACAGGTTGAGCCACCAAGCCCAGCCTAAAATAACTTCTTAGTGATACACACCTATTAAACTTCAGTGATACACACCTATTATAGAGAAAATCAGATATATTTTCAACTATATGTTTATTCATACATTGCCTTCTGTGTGGATAATTAGACATTAAAAAACAAATGCACTCAGCAGTAAAATACTATTTTTATATAATTACAAATATTTGGAAGTTTACTTTTTATCTATACATTCTATTTATTTATTTATTGAGTCAGAATCTCACTCTGTCGCCCAGGCTGGAGTGGAGTGGCATGCTTAAAACTCCTGCAGCTTCAACCTGCTGGGCTCAGGCAATCCTTCCACCCCAGCCTTCCAAGTGGGTGACCTACAGGTGTATGTCACCATTCCTGGCTAATCTTTTGGATTTATTGTAAAGACAGGGTCTTGCTATGTTGTCCAGGCTGGTCTTGAACCTCTGAGCTCAGGCAATTCTTTTGCCTCTGCCTTCCGAAGTGCTGGGATTATAGATGTGAGCCACCATGCTGGTCTATCTATATATTTGAATTTGTGGCATTTCTGAGTGTTTCTGCCACTCTGTTACTCCATTATAGTTGAGGTCTTGTTAATCATCCACTCACCAGTGATAACATTCATAAATATGACATTTTAAATTTGTATCTCACCTCATAGAAAGAACTGTGCAGCTTTTACATCTATCAGACTAGAGATAAATAATCCAGTCTTTACATAATTTTTTTCTCCATCTGTCTGTCTCTTTCTTGTCTCTAATTTTGTTGGTGCATCAGGACTACTGAACAAGTGAAATTTCTCTGTTTTCTGTTGTAAGTACTCCTGCTGTTTCTGTTTGTCCCTGGGACTGTTGGCAGTTTCCTCTTCCTCTCCCACCCACACCCAACCTCTCCATAGCATGTTGGCTTCTATTTCTGAGTTTGATCTTCTGTTGATTTTTGCATTTCTTCTGCCACTTCATAAGTCAGCTTAGCCTTGCAATTGTCTGTACCTGAAGGAATGGGGATCAGCCTTCCCACTTTAGGTGCAAGAGCTTGCACTTCCTGGCTTGGCAGGTATCATGTGGTGCTTTGACAACATCAGGAGCTGGCTTGACCCTAAGACCATCACAGCAGTGGTTTGAGGAACTGTTCTGCTATTTAATATTGGAAACTTTTGGCTTTTTTGATAGGATATGACTGTGGGCTTGGAGCAGGGAGTACTTTTTATTGAGTCACCTAAACTTGAGTTTGGTGGGAGAGAATGGCACTTAGTAAGAAGATAGGAAAAGAAGACTATGAGTAGTGATCATGCACATTCTGGTAATGTATGTGCTTGATTTTTTTTTTTTTTCACAAGAAAAAAATGTTGCAATAGTTTTTTAAAAATCTACAGTGGCGTTTTCATTAGAAATTTCGAGTTCATTGAAACAAAACAGAATCTGAATTAGTCCTGTGATAATGAGTTGTGTGCTAGTTTAAAAATAACAGGTGGTCCAAGCTTTCCCCGTTTTCAGGTTTTGCATAGTACACAGTGTTCATCTTTCATCTTACTATTTAACAGGAATGGCAACAGTTTACTCAGATATTTTAATTTTTATGCTTTCTGTTGACCACAGTTCTTCTCTGTTAGCTGGAGCTATCTTATGAGACTTCTGTGGCTTTTAGTGCAATAAAGAACTTTTAAAGAAATTGGTCCAGTGTGATGATTTTTCTAATGAACGTCAAAGCCCAGCGAATGAGGATCAAAGGAACCGAATTTCTCTAGATGCTAAGCCTCTACCGTCTGAAAGACTTTTGGTGGTGTGTAATTTAAAAATATAGACATCAGAGTACTGGTCTTAGACAACCCACAGAAGCAAGTGAGGGAGTCTTTTCAGAGAATGAGCCCCGCTGTAGTTCTTTGCTTACCCTGTCTCTTGGGACGATTCAGAGGCACAGAAGGTGTCTCTGACTTGTATGTTGATGTATGATCTGTGTGGTGCTGTTTGCTTTGGCTTCTATCTGCACACACTGCTCTCTGCTCCATCTCATACCTTGAAAGTTGTCAATGTGATCCCAAATGGGCTTGTTTGTGCTTCTTTTTCCAGGAGTGGCTGTAAGGTGAAGAAATATGAAACTCAGTCTCTTGCTTTGGATGCATGTTCTCAGGTAAGTCTGTGACCACCACCAGAATAACTCTTACACCAGTGGTCTCCCAACTGGAGTTTGTAGCTCCCTGGAGGTGGTTCACGAAGACTTTGGGTGTCTGAGTACTCAGCTTTAAGAAACCTCTTAATTTCTAGATCTTTAACATCCTAAAATCATCTGAGAAGGCCTCTGAAGGCAAGGGAACCCTTTCACAATGTCCCTTTTCTGTTTGTGTGTGTATGTGTGTGTGTGTGTGTGTGTGTATAAAATTCCCACTCTAAATCTTACAAAGATACATCATCACAGGGTGTGAAAACCTCCAGGGCACCAAACAAAGGTAACATTTGAAATACTGGTGTAAGGTCTAAGAAGGTGATTGACTTTAACAACTGGATAATATACATTTTGATTTCCAATTCATTGCTTTCTATAAGATAGGAGGACCTGTGTTGTCTGCTGATAGATCATTAAAAATAATTTTTGGTGATAGAATTTTTTAACATTTAACTTGAAAAGGGGTTCAAAGAATTGAGACATTACCAATACATAGCTTCCTTCTATGTCATCTATTATTTATGTAAATTTTCCTAATTATTACAATTATAAAAGTAGAAGCTAGGAGCCGGACTCGGCGGCTCAGCCTATAATCCCGCACCTTTGGGAGGCTGAGGTGAGTGGATTGCCTGAGCCCACGGGTTCGAGACCCGCCTGGGCAGCGAGACTTCATCTCTACAATAAATCAAAAATCAGCCGGGCATGGTAGCGCTCGCCTGTAATTCCGGCTACTCAGAAAGCTGAGGTGGAAGGATCGCCAGAGCCCAGCGGGTCGAGGCTGCGGTGGCTGGGAGCGGCCACTGCTCTCCAGTCTGGGCAACGGAGTGAGACTCCAACTCAAAAAAAAAAAAAAGTGGAAACTAGGAATAAAATAGATGCTGATTCTATCAGTAAGTAATATCTGTCCATGACTGAATGAATTAATTGGGAAACACAAAAACCCCAAAATTCAGGCCTTTCTTACTGCAACAAGATCCTTTTTTGCTTTTAAAACTTTATTTCCATAAAGTATGTTTACAGAAATACAGAAATACACTCACCTTGTTTAATAGAATGCAATTTAAGTTTAGCTTATCCTATACAGTTTGGGCCTGAAACTTGATACGTGGTATAAGATGTAAGAAAGAGGAGGAGAGATCTTCACTGAGTTATTCTTCATCTATTACAAATGTATAAAAGACCCTCCCTCAAAATTTGCTAAAGTAGGCAGCAAGAATATGAGAAATTTACCTTTGGGTTTTTTTTTTTTTTTGAGTTGGAGTCTCACTCTGTCACCCAGGCTGGAGTGCAGTGGCACACTCATGGCCACCCCAGTGTTGCTGGGCTCTGGCAGGCGATCTTTCTGCTTCAGCCTTCCAGGTAGCCAGAACTACAGGTGCGTGCTACCACGTCCAGCTGATTTATTGTAGAGATGAGGTCTTGCCAAGTTGCCTGGGCTAGTCTCGAACCCATTGGCTCAGGCAATCCAGTCATCTTGGCCTCCCAAAGTACTGGGATTACAGACTGAGCCACCAAGCCTGGCCTTACCTTTGGTTTTCTTTAAAAAATGAAAACCTGTGTGTGAAAATGAAAACCTGTGTGTCGCATTGTAAAAATTTTAAGAATTGTTGCAACAAAAATAATTGGTATAAAAATTTACTTTTGTGTTTGATAATACTTATTAAAACTTGCAATATTTTAAAAATAAATTGTGCATTAGTAAATGTAATAATAACTCCAGAAGAAAATTTTAACACTTTGAGACTTATGGTCAAAGAAAAATTTAAAAAAATTTAAAAAAAAAAGAAATAGGATAGAGAGATCTTAAAAAGACTTTCAATTACACAGTGTTTTTCATTGGGATAATAATTACTTGATGGAAGTAGAGTGAAAATACAAATTTAGAGAAGAAAAAGAATAATGTAAATTTCATTTCTGATTAATAAAGGACTTGTTCATATAGTTTTAAAATGAGTCATACAGTGTCAGAGCACTAGAGTAACTAGATTGCATTATGCAAGTTCAGTATTTAGACTATGCCAAGTATTACATCTCACAATGCTTTAAACTTATATGTAAATTAAAAATAAAATGAGGTATGCAATTTTTTTTTAAATTAGGAGGTATGTAAGCAAAAAAAAAATTTTTTGCTTACATACCTCCTAATTTAAAAAAAACCACTGTCGTGGATCACTCCAACTGCTTGCTTACAAATTTAGGCTAGAAAACCTCAGTTTTTCAAACCTCAAACTCAAATTACAGAAACTAGTTTCAAAAAAACAGCACCTTGTGATTGAAAGACTCAACTTCTTCCTTGCTTTATACCCAGATCTGTGGTTAACTCTGTTAGATATTTGTATGGGATTGTGGATGCTTTCCTCCGTTTCTGAGGTGTCACGTCCCCCATTGTTTGCCCTCCTAACCCATTGTTTGCCCTCCTAAAAGGTATCATCTTCTCTGTTTCATTTCCCAGGATGAAGGAGCAGTGATCTCTCAGATTTCAGACATTTCTAATAGGGATGGCCATGCTACCGATGAGGAGAAACTGGCGTCCACATCATGTGGTCAGAAACCAGCTGGGGCCGAGGTGAAAGGTGAGCCAGAGGAAGACCTGGAGTACTTTGAATGTTCCAATGTTCCTGTGTCTACCATAAATCATACGTTTTCATCCTCAGAAGCAGGTATGGAAGTATATCTTCATCTTTCTAATGTACATAAGCATAGACATGCCTGAAAGCTTAATAAAGCAGGGGATGCCTTTAAAGAGATTGAAGAATTGGATAACTTGAAGGATAGATTTATGATACAGATCTACACTTTGCTCCTTTACCTAGAAAAGAGACACCAAAAAAGTGTGCTTATTGAAGTACTAAGAACATACAGATACATGTGGCAGGATATACAGGAGACACTGATATATGAAATTGTCCTTATATTTTATGTCAATATGGTCTTATCTTAAAGTATAATCGTATGTTAGTCCACCTCTGTGACTGTAAAGGAATAACTGAGGCTGGGTAATTTATAAAGAAAAGAGTTTTATTTGATTCACAGTTCTACAGGCTATACAAGAAGCATGGCACCAGCATCTGCTCCTGGTGAGGGACTCAGAAAGCTTCCAATCATGGCACAAGGTGAAGGCATGTCACATGGTGAGAGAGGGAAAAAGGAAGAGACAGGGAAGGAAGGTGCCAGTCTCTTTCTAACAACCAGCTTTCACGGGAACTATTAGAGCAAGAAGTCACCCATTACCACACCAAGCTATTCATAAGGAATCCACCTGGTGACCTAAACACCCCCATTAGGCCCCATCTCCATCGCTGGGGATCACATTTCAACCTGAGATTTGGAGGGGACAAACATTCAAAGTATATCAAGTGACTTATAAATATGTCACACATTTGACTTTTTTGTGTGATAATTCTGCTCATTGTTTAACTTACAGAAAATATAACTATATAATAACTAACTTATAGTGCCTTACCAAATGTAGGCATTGTTCTAAGTGCTTTGCATATATTAACTCATTGCTTCTCACTAGGTGTTACTCTTCTCTCCATTCTTCAGAGAAATGAAGTAAGGCACAGAAGTTAAGTAACTTGACCAGTTACTTAGCTAGTGTAGGAGAGAAAAGCGATAACTTTTTCCTTACATTGCAAGATTCATGGCGGAGACCTCTATAACAAGGCAGAACAATAAGAGAAAAGCATACGAGTTTGTTTGATATAAGTGTTATATGACATGAATGCCTCCAGAAGTGAAAACCCCAAAGAAACAAGGACAACTGTATTTTTTTTTTTTTTTTTTTAGTTGGAGTCTCACTCTGTTGCCCAGGCTGGAAAGCAGTGGCACTCTCACGGGGCCACTGCAGCCTCAACCTGCTGGGCTCAGGTGATCCTTCCACCTCAGCCTTCTAAGTAGCTGAAACTACAGGCACATACTACCACACCCAACCAATTTTGTGATTTATTGTAGAGACAAGGTTTCACCAAATTGCCCAGTCTGGTCTCGAACCCCTGGCTCAGACAGTCCTCTCACCTCCACCTCCCAAAGTGCTGAGATTATAGGCGTGAGCCATCAAACTATATTTTTATAGTCACACTGAAGTACGATTGGAGGACAAAAGTTCTGATCTAATGGCAATATAAATTGGAGGAATTTAGCAAGACCTGTTTGTTCAGATTCCTCTTGATGCTTTTGAGGATAAGGACCTTCTTTTTCTTTAAGTACAGGGTGGAGTCCCCTGTGATGAGGGTCTTTTGACCTATTTTCAGGGAGAAGTCAGAGGATTCCTTTATGTCCTGCTTCAAGGGAAAGGACAGGAGAAGGCAGAGAGGCCTTCCCACTCCTGCTGTTTTCTCAAATGCCAGGGTGCCATATTTTGGAGTTTTATATTCTGAACCCTGTCACTAGTAAATGGTGACTAGATTCAGACCTAAGTAGTGTGGTTCAATGGTCTTTTAACCACAGTGCTAAAGTGTATGAACAGGTTATTTTCATTACACTATGAATTTTCCTGTCACAGATGTAGGTTGAAATTGACCAATGCACTGCAAAATCCTTTGTAACATTGAAGAACCTAGACTAATCTAGGGTGAAGCCTCTTTGTTGGACTCTTCAGATCATTTTAGAGCTAAAGTCTTCTAGATCCCAAATTGAATCTGTGACTTTAAACTTTGCTTATGAAAAATTTAGAGTCATGTTCCTGACTTCATGAAACAATGTTAAAATACTGAGATCATCTTAAGCAAATGTATTTTGTTGTTGTGGTTTTATTTATTTTAGTTTTGGTGAGAATTCACTACATAAGGAAATTGCATGCAGTTGAAGTTTGAGCTTCTAGCTGGTCCTCTCACCCTCTGAGAGTGAACCAAGTACCCAATGTGTTGCCAGGTATCCTCCTACCTCCTGTCTCACTCCCTCCCCTCGCAGTGTCCTGCGTCTGCTGATCCCACCCTTGTGCTTGTGTGACCAGTGATCAGGGCCCACTTATGAGTGAGAACATGCAGTATTCAGTTCTTTGTTTCTGTGACGGTCACTTTTCTGTTTAAATAATTAGCTATCGACTGAAATAGTAATTAGTGCTACATAGAGGATTGTAGCTGCATCACGTAGTATGATGACCTCCAGTTATATTCATGTTACTGCAAAGACCATGATTTTGTTCTTCTTTATGGCAAGCAACATAATTTGTGGGCGTTATGCTTAGAATTTTAAAAGTCATGATCTACCATCAAACCAGGGAAGCAGGTAAAGTCAGGACTTTGAGCTGGTTATTCCCCTCGGCTTCCCCCCATCCCTAGGTCTCAGTCTCGAGTCTATAAAATAAATGTGCCAGGCATTGTGCCTGATTTCTTCTAAGGCTGCTTTCTATGCTGACATCTTTCCCAAAGGCCTTGTTCATCATTTTCCTTGAAACTCCTTACTCCAGTTACTTTTGAATATTAATCCTGAGTATTCTTACACCTGAATTCATTTCTTCTATTTGAAATATCTTTCTTTGCCACCCCCTACACAAATCCTGCCCATCCTTTGAGGTCTATCCCGCAGGCTGTATGCTCCCACCACATTTCTTCTTACCCTTTCTGTTCCACTCACCTAGCACAGTGTATTAATTATGGAAGCGTAACTATTACAAACCTGCTGCTTATAATAGGGACTGTGAGAGGGTCATCCTTGAATTGCCTCTGATACAAGTACAAGGTAAATATTTGTTGAATTTATTCTTCACTATAGAAAATTTCTTCACCAAAAATTTATATAGAGATTCAAGGCTGTATTAGATGCAGTGCTGTCCTCAAGGTTGGTTAGTAAACAGGAGGCAGGCAGAACAGATTTAAACAAGCTGTTACACTGTAACTGCTGAGCTGCATCACAGGCGGAAGCTGTGATCCTTGGGTGGGGGTGGGGTGGAGGCTAGTGGGGTGTTACGTGAATCAGAGACTATTTCCTGGAGAGAGTTGTCCCAGAGCTGGGTCTTGATGGATATATATGTAGATGTTCTCCAGGAAACAGACTCTCAAACAGCGATGGAAGGGAACCTGCCATGTTGGTAAAATGCCCAGTAGTTTTCTGTGAGTACCGGGCAAGTGGGAAGTGAGGTCTTACTGTGAATTTTAGGCTTGAGCCTGTGAGGGATGGGTGGTAAGGAAGTTTTTTGAGTCAGAGGAGTGATGGCCACTTTTGTGTTTAAATAATTAGCTGTCACCTGAAATAGTAATTAGTGCTACATAGAGGATTATAGCTTAAAATGTTGTGTGCTTTTCTGTATTTTTACATTTTCTTCAATGACTGCATATTCTGGTTATTTTATTATTATTTTTTATGACAGGGTCTCACTCTGTTGCCCAGACAGGAGTGCAGTGGCACCGTCTGAGCTCACTTCAGCCTCAGTCTCTTGGGTTCAGGTGATCCTCCCATCTCAGCCTCCCCAGTAGCTGGGACTATAAGTGTGCACCACTATGCCTGGCTGATTTTTCTATTTTTTGTAGAACTCAGGACTCACAGTGTTGCCCAGGCTGCTCTCAAACTCTTGGGCTCAAGTAATTCTCCCACCTTGACCTCCCAAAGTGCTGGGATTACAGGTGTGAGCCATCATGCCCGCCGTATTCTGGTTTGTTTGTTTCTTCTGAGTAGCAGTCTCACTCTATCACCCAGCGACCCACTGCAGCCTCTGTCTACCTCAGTCTCCTAAGTAGCTGGAACCACAGGAGTGCACCACCACACCCAGCTAATTTTTTTCATTTATTGTAGAGACGAAATCTTGCCAAGTTGCCCAAACTGGTCTCGAATCCCTGGACTCAGGCAGTCCTCTCGCCTCTGCCTCCCAAAGTGCTGAGATTACAGGCATAAGCTACCATGCTCGACCATATTCTGGTTATTTTAAATATCACCTTCCACTCTAGTAGACTAGGAGGTAGACCTGAGACAAGGAAACCAGTTTGAAGGGTGTGGAGAATTAATTTAGTTTTGCAGTCTTGAATTTAAAGATTATCATATTATATGCTGCATTAATTAGATTGAGGGTACCATTCTTGGCTGCAATTTAATTTCACTCAGACTTGATAATAAAAAAAAGCATTTAGTATCTTCTGAAATAGTCCCAATTTATTTTCCAAACTCTTAATGGACACAAGAGGGCAGTCTTGCTGTTCTTTCTGCCTGAAAGTTGACAGCTAATGACTGACCGTGCAATTTTCTTTCTTCTGAATTTTGTAGACTTTTAACACTAAACTGCATAGTGCTCAACAGAACGCCTGTACTCCTTTGAAAATCTTGAAATGCTGTTCATGTATTTGTGGTCATTGGGCCTGCACTGGGGTTTCCAGGAGTCTTTCACCCTATAGGGAGAAAGGAACCAACTTCGAGAGATTCCTATAAAAATGACTTTCTGTGTTCTAGGAATAGAAAAAGAGACAAGCCAGAAGATGGAAGAAGATGGGTCTGCTGCACTTGTAAGTTCCTGCATGTGGATGGACGGGTGGAGCTCAGCTTCCTTTTAGTATGTCTTGAAGCCCAGTCCATGTGAATTCATTAAATTCTAGTCAGGGTTACATGGTGAGGCACAGCTTCTACATTTGAGGCACCCATAGACTATGTGTGTTCTATCCTATAGCCACTAGCCACATGTGGCTGCTGAGCACTTGAACTGTAGCTGGTCTGAATTGAGGTGTTGATATGTGTAACATACAACCAGCTTTTGAAGACTTAGTATAAATAAAGAACATAAAATATTTCCATAATTTCTTACGACTGTATGTCGAGATGATAATATTTGGATATATTGGGATCGCTAAACTATCTTAAAATTAATCTTGTTTCTTTTTACTTTTGTCACTTGTGTGTGTGTGTGTGTGTGTGTGTGTGTGTGTGTGTGTGTGTCGGAGTCTCACTCTGTCGCCCAGGCTGGAGTGCAGTGGCACTCCCACGGCCATCGCAGCCTTGACCTGCTGCATTCAGGTGATCCTTCCACCTCAGCCTTCCAGGTAGCTGGAGCTACAGGCGCATGCCACCATATCCAGCTAATTTTTTGGTTTATTGTAGAGACGAGGTTTCATCAAGTTGCCCAGACTGGTCTCAAACCCCTGGACTCAGGCAATTCTCTCATCTCTGCCTCTCAAAGTACTGGGATTATAGGCGTGAGCCACCGCACCCGGCTTCTTTTTACTTTTGTATTGTAACTACTAAAAAATTTAAAATTACATGTGGCTTCTAGCATATTTCTGTTGACAGAACTGGTAGTAGATACAGGATGGAAACCAGCAACACTGTATGGCAAGTGTTATCATAGAATGTACTCCAGGGCTTGTAGGGCTAGGTAGAAGGTTGAATCTCAGCTAATTCAAAATGAATCTTTTTTTAAATCCAAATTTCAAAACAAATTATTTATTTATTTGTTTGTTTGTTTCTTTATTTTTGGCTGGACTCAGGTGATCCTTCCGCTTCAGCCTTCCAAGTAGCAGAAACTACATACAGTCACATGCCACTATACCCAGCTAATTTTTTGATTTATTGTAGAGATGATGTCTAGCCAAGTTGCCCATGCTGGTCTTGAACCCCTGGGCTCAGGTAATCCTCTTGCTTCCACTTCCCAAAGTGCTGGGATTGTGGGTGTGAACCACCACGCCTGGCAAATTTTTCATTTTCAACTTGTTTTGGACATTCCAAATAGTACAAAGAATTCCTATGCCAGGTGCGATGGCTCATGCCTGTTTAAAAAAAAAAAAAAAGCCTGTATATCTTTTACCCATATATTCCTCAAATTTTACATAATCATAGGACATTTATCAAAATCACTAGTACACTTAACACCAGTACAGTACTATTATCTAATAGATAAATCTTATTCAATTATTCCACTGATGTCCTTTCTCTCTGGTGTCATATAAATTTATTTTCAAATCAAAGTGAAGTGTTTCAGATGAGATCAGGCATGTTCTGGGTAGAATGGCCATAGACAAGGTGAAGTGTTTCAATGACAACTTCACCTGCTCCCACAGCACCCACCACCTCCTGCGTCCTCCAGGTGCTCAGATTTCCTAAAACCAGCCCAGACTTGTCTCACGCTGTGACATATCACAACATATATACTTACACATTTATAAAGCAAATTAAACAAAACAAGTAGCTGCCTTCATGTGATTCAGAGGCTAGGGGAAGGAGTAGCCTGTGGAAATTTAGGCAGGGAGTCAGAAGGAAGAACATAGGGGATCAGGAGCATTGCCTCACAAGGGCCTACACAATAATGTGTTTCCACACAGAATCACTTTTGCCTGGAAATCCATTTGATCTCAACATTCTTCAGAGCCAGGTCATCTAATCTCAGCACTGCCCTCTTGGGGCTTAAGTCTCAGTTTCCTCATCTGTGAAAGGGAGTGACACCTGCTCTCTGTGTTTACAAGAGGATGAAACTCCACACTACACACCAGAACAGCCTGGTTGTGCACTTTTGAAGTTTTTCAAGTACTGTAGGAGCTCTTACTAGTGTTTTCAGTATGTAAAAACAGCAGAGGGATGACTGAAGAAGGGTGTTTTGAATGGACAACATGCTGGTCTCCATGGCTACAGATAACAGGTACTTGACCCAGTTCTTGAAACCACTGTTTAAACTTTCTGATTCCTTCCTTTTTCATCAACAAAATGCTCAGCAACCATTCGCCTCACCAGAGTGGTTGTGAGGATAAGATGAAATGATAATGTGAGCGAGTCAAGCTGTCAAGTGCTAGGCTGCTATGGGGTGGTGTGGCGTTGGACAGGCACAAGGTGGGGAAGAGTGAAAAGGAGTATGGAGAGTACAAGTCTCCAGAGCCAGCCATGGAGGACGTAGCCTGTGCTGTGACCTTTCAAGAGTAACTCCATCTGAAATTCCTGACGTAAAAAACTTCTACTTCTTTAGAATGGTGAATAAACATTGTATAATGAAATATCAAGATCGGGCGTGGTGACTCAAGCCTGTAATCCCAGCACTTTGGAAAGCCAAGGCAAGAGGATTGCCTGAGTCCAGAGGTTCAAGACCAGCCTGGGCAACTTGGTGAGACCATGTCTCTACAATAAATCAAAAAATTAGCCAGGCGTACTGGCGCACATCTGTAGTTCCAGCTACTTGGAAGGCTGAGGTGGAAGGATCGCCAGAGCCCAGCAGGCCGAGGCTACAGTGGCTGTGAGAATGCCATCCAGCCTGGGTGACAGTGAGACTCCAACTAAAGAAAAACTATCAATAAGCAAAACATTGAATAAAGAAATTTGTTGATTCCAGCACTTACTCTTTAAAGCCTCCCTGTGTTGGTCTGAAGTTCATGTTGCAGTCTCATGCCTAGTGGTAGTGGTGGTTGGGACAAAATATTAAGACCAGGATCCAGTCAATGGGGGAGATTAAGTCTCATCTTGCTTTTCAGCTGTTGGTCTGCAGCATTTTTCACTTAGAGTCAATTTATGGTTTTTTGGTTTTTTTAGAAGTCTTACATTTTTTAAAAATTGCGTTCATTTGGCTTTTCCAAGCATGTTTCTGTTAGGGAAATGACAGGGGCTGGGACTGCTCCAGTGATTTTTTTTTTTTTTTTGAGTTGGAGTCTTACTCTGTCACCCAGACTGGAGTGCA